CGAGGCTCAGCTCTGTGCAAACCCGATCAATACAAAGGCCAATTCAACCCCCCAAAAGTCCCCACATCGCCTGCTCTCTTCAGTGCATCAGCAGGGAAGCGAATAATGCTCTTATTAATGGGGATGAGCAAACACGTTTTACAAAAATGTAAATGCACAGACATTGTGCCAGACTGAACTGTGGCCATCAGAGCACACGCATGGACAAAATTTTGACATAGATGTATGTATACCTTTAATGTGTCACTGACAAGGTGGAATTCCTGCTTGAATACTTGTTTTGGTTCAAAAATTCACAATGAATGAACTTCATTCACTGTGGATGTTGTAGCAATGTGGGTAAACCTCGTGATAAGACATATTTAGTCATAATAGTTTTCAGATGAATGTCTAATGAAGGAAGTAAGCAGGCTGGAAATGTTAAAAAGAAAAAAATCATGCGTGTTTTGGTTATTTTTTACACGAGGAGTGTGGTGTGGAGATGTTTATTGACTTTTTTTCTATGAGATGTGGCAGCTAGTGAACAGGGGCTTGATTGAGGGTGTACAATCAAGACAGAGCAGAGTACCCAGATCAGATCAATACTGTGCAGATGAGGAAGTCTCGTGGGAACAAGCTGGGTTTGTTGCCATCTGGGCTCCCTAAAAAGATCCACTTTAACACAAGTTTAATCATTTGATCCCCACAGAAGGCACACAATGAAATTAAGAGTATCTGCACAGGCTCAATTCATGCTTCACATGATGATGGTGTTTTGTTGATTTAGACTGAAAAGCATGATGTAACAGGGAAGTACTGCAGTGCTCTGAAGGTCTCCTCACAAAACACAACTTGATATCACTCCCATATTGGTGTGAGTGCTCTCAGAGTAATTCGAGGGCTTGCTTGGCTCGTCATATGATGCCTCTCCAGCTATTACAGTACATTAGAAGGAAAGCTTGCAACCAGACTGTGGAGCTCATCTCCAGGATGTTTGTACTTCTGTGCTGCTGCTAATGTAGGAATGACAGGTGCTCTCCTCTTCTCAGGTGGTGCTGGTGGAGAAAAACAGCGACTGTGTAGTTAGTTAGCGTGTGTTTGGGAGCTGGAGGAAGACGCACGGGTGTCCTGGACAGGTGGTCCAGGAGACATTTGCTGTCCCGTCTCAGGTTCCAAAAAAAGCATTCTGTTCCTGGCCCTGCAGAAAAACTGTACATCGTTGTGTATCTGAATCTAGATCTTTGTCTCTGTTCATGTCACAAACTGAAAGCATTTTCTTTTCTTTTTCTTTCTTTTTTTCCACACAAGCACATTTCATAATCCTCTATTTTTTTTACACTTCTCTTTTTTTACACCAAAAATAACACAGACAACCAAATTTTAACTTGACTGGTTACAGTTCCCTCTAACTCATTATGATGTACATTTCTGCAAAAATGAAAAAGACGTGTACTGGGCAAGAAGTATTAAAAAAACATGGATGATTACTCATTGGATGCAAAACGAGGCCCAAATGTACAAGAACTGGCAGCTGGTGGTCCAAAACCAGAAAAAGAACCAGAACACCCAAAAAATGAGATGAAAAAAAGAAAGAAACTAAAGCAAAGAAAGGAGGAGGTAAGGAGGGAACTGTGAACTAACCGAACACATGTAAAACTAAGCTGAGAAGTAAAGAAATCAATGAAAAACTAACTGCATAGAAAACAAACACGGACCCACAATGCAAGTGAACCTTTCGGAACAAAACAGGCGATATAAAGAATAATCAAAAATGTAACAGCAACACAATTAAAATGATCATAAATGAACTCAGCACAGCTTCTATTTTTTCATCTTTTTTCCATGTTGACTGCCTTTGAAATCATCAAGCATTTTACAACATCTTTTTTTAACATGTCTTTCAATATTTTTGTTCCTTTTCTGTTTAATAATTTATATCACTCATAAATCCCCTTATTAAATGTGGTACCGGTGGGTTAAGCCCCCTTTAAATAGCCAACAGAAGGGTTTAATCTCCTATTAAAGTGGGTGGTTGAGGCATTCTTCCTTTGAGTGCAGCTGATATAAGTGGTCTTCATGTTAGCACAAAGAAACTATTTCTGTGTTTGATTTTTTTGGGTGGAACAAGTTCTGATTGTCTTCACAAACTACAGAGAGCATGCTGTAAATTTGATCTAGCTACTTTGGCCTTCATCATGGATTTTCTTTCTTTCTCTTTGTGTGTTTCACTGTTTCTCTCTCCCCTTTTCTCCCTGTCTTTGATTCATGCATTATTTATCTCTCAGAGCAAACCAGCTTCCTCCCCAACCCCCCCAGCCCCTCATGTCCCCACTGCCCTCCTGTTCTATATAAATCACAGTCACTTTCAATTGATATCTAAGATGAAACCATCACTCCCATTTCTTAAACATATTCAAAACTAGGAGTTTAAGTTTCTCAGGCGTACTTTCTGGTTTGCCTTTTATGGTCATCATGGCACAGATTCAACAAGGTGCTGGAAATATTCCTCCGAGATTTTTGTCCATACTAACATGTCAGCATCACACAGTTGCTGCAGATTTGTCAGCTGTGACTCTCATTCCAGTACATCCCAGAGGTGCTCTATTGGACTGAGATCTGGTGACCTGCTGGAAGGAGCCATTAGATGATCCGTACACTGTGGTCATTAAGTGATGGACATGATCAGCAACAATATTTAGGTCGGCTGTGCTGATCAAACAACACTCAGCTGGTGCTAAAGGGGTCCAAAGAGTGCCAAGAAAAAATCCCCAGACACTTAAATCACCACGAGCAGCCTGAACTGTTCGGGACAGGATGGATCCATGCCTACCGACTGAATGCTGATAGGAGAGACACCCAGTGTGGTCTTCTGCTGTTGTAATCCATCTACTTCAATGTATTGTGCATTCAGAGATGCTCGTCTACATACCTTGGTTGTAACGAGTAGTTGTTTGAGTTGTTTTTGCCGTTTTATGACCTCAATGCAGTCTGGCCGTTATTCTCTGACTTCTGGCATCAAAAAGGCATTTTCACCTGGAGAACCGTTGCTTGCTGGATATTTTTTCTTTTTCAGACCACCCTCTGTAAACCTTAGAGATCGTTTTGTGGGAAAATCTCAGTAAATCAACAGAAATATTCAGGCCGCTCTGACTGGCACCAACAACCAAAGTCACTTAAATCCCCTTTCTTCCTCATTCTGGTGCTCAGCTTTAACTTTAGCAGGTCGTGTCTGACCATGTCTTCGTGCTTAGATGCTTTGGGCTGCTGCCATGTGATTGGCGGATTAGACTTTTATATTTTCATAATAACTTTTAACATGGATATTAAAGTCAGTACAAGAACAGATCTGCACGCATTGCAACATCATTACATAATATTTTCCAACTGTGAAGTCAAAGAGTTCATGTTGATGAATATGGCCTTTACCGTGATCAATACCTACACTGGGAGATTAGTGAGACCAGTACTTCAACTTTTATTATTTATTAATGAGCTGTTTGCATTACAAAATTTTAAAAAAGAGTTTCGCCAAAAGGAGTGTGAGAGCTAAACTACTTACTCTTAAATGAATAATCTCAATTATGCTCCCTAATGAGCTTTATTACAATTCTGGGAACCATACTGGATGAGTCACAAGTATACTTCAATGCCTTTTAACTTGTCAAATGTTGAGTCAAGTGAACCCGATTAAAAAAGAAAGCTACAATATAATTTATTTTGCTTCGGGGATTTGAAGTAAGTGAGGATATTGCACAAACATCTACTTACAGAACTCATAAACATCTCTGCCATTACTGAAGCCTGTTCTGCTGCTACAGCGCTTTAAACAAGTATTGTCACGATTTGAATCCATCATTTTTTTTTTTTTGCCTCAGGTGTCTCCAGCAGTACATCACCTCTTACGCATAAAGGCAGCAGTGTTTCTGAGAAGAGCAATCCTCTCATTCCACTTCTCTCCAGATGATAAATAATTTAATATGAGTTTTAAATAGGTCACATAAAAAAAAAGAAGTGATTTTCATGTGATGTGATAGAGTCAAACTCACTGTGCATCGTGCGCCACATTCAGCCCACGTTGATCATAATTGGGCTGGACCCGTAATGTGCCATTGTGACTCTTTTGGCATAAATTGTAAGAAACAAATGTGTTACATTGCAGAAACGGTTCTGGTAGCTCATTGCCTAGACTGTCCTGTAATTAGAAAACAGAAAGTTCTTGTTAGTTTACAGGCAATGCCTCATTTAAAAAATACACCGTGCACGGACTGTAAACAAAAATAAA